GTTACAAAGCCCTTGTTTTTAAATAGTTGAGTTATTATGGTAAATCATTAACATTATTAATCTGACTGTTCAGTTATTGCAAAACCTTTTCTGTTATGACATAAAACTGTAGTCTAGCCATAATATGATTACCATATTTTTGAAAAATCCATATAGAAAGACAGGTGCCTTGCAAAATTAGAAGAGTTTGTGGTGTGTCGGTTGCTGTGCTTATGAATCGATACATAAAATCAGAATCATGAAAAATATGATGAAACTTTCAGTGAATCCAAAATGGAAACGATGGGAAACCTAGCCTTCATGTTTCACTCAAAACTCAGTGGTGAAATTTTTAGCTAAAGATTAAGATAGAGGAGTTGATGCTTGAATTTAGAAATGAAATGAATCGCCCTGAAAAAACGTAAAGTGGTTCTCATCTCTTACATTGACAAGGAATTCTTTGAGTGACTCATTTTCAAGTCATTTAAAATTCTAAGAAATTACTGATGAATTTACAGTAAGTGATAAGGCAAGTTCTTCAGAGAATAAATTTTCAAGAACTTGACAGTTTTCTAGGCTGTTTTGTCATTTCTAACCAGGAAGCACTAGAATATCTTATTCTCCGAATCTTTCACTTTTCTGCAATGCAAATATGATACCATGTGATAAAAACGCTTTCCATGATCACCTGGTTTAGTAATGAGCAAGTGGGTCAGAACTCAAAAACTTTCAATGTCCATTGTTTATCATTTTGCCGTATGACCTCAGAATGTGTTTGGATCTCTGTATGAGAAACAGTTTACTTGAGATTGGTGAAACTCCTAACTGATGCATACGTCTCTGATTGTTTTAAGATCCACTTTGTAAAGGTTTGTCTATTATTATAGGAGTACAGAAAATAAACATAGTATTTTATTTGATTGCTAGATGAATTTAATTGTTGTTTTATCATATAATTTGTACATTTCCTCATAATTATGTAACCTTTGCTTTTCAATGTATTCTAAGCACAAAAACAGGAAACTTACATTCTTTTGATGATCATGCAAGCAAGTGGAATTCACCTGGAATTTCCCGTTTTGCAATCGTGAATTTTAAATCACTTTGTTTATCTTCACACGACACCTTTTTTGCTGAACTTAAAAGCCGCAGCAAATTTTCATGAAGACTTCATTATTTCTTAATAAAAGCTCAACACTTTTTTAACCAGAAAAATATTGTCACAAATTTAAAATTGATAGTAATAAATAATAATAAAATAATGGTTTTGCTTTGAATAATTCTCTTATAAATTATGCGGAATTCTCAGCGTGTTTTATTGCACAATATATATTCACCTGTTGTATAGAATCTTCCAGGAAAATAATGACAGATAATATACATGATGTGATGCAGTATTTGTTCTAACCAAAAGATATTGCAATCCTTTCAAATAAATAATCCTTTCATTTCTTTCCAGTAGGTTGAAAACAATTAAAGAACTAGGGTGAACAGAGATTTTGATACAACAGTGTAACTGGATGATTGAAATAATATGACATAGTGTAAATTTAATGTATTTCAATAGGCAGAATATTGTGTGGCGCATTAATGTACGCAAGATGGTCTCATGTTAACAGCACCTGTTTAGTTAGGAAGGCATATCTGTCACCTGGAGCAACTAGAAGACTTGTTCTAGCATTTTCTGTACTGAAAATTCTATTTTGGAGTGAATTCTCCATTTATCTTTGGATATTAAGGCTGAGGTAAGGCTGAGCACATATGAGTGCTGAAGTATTACGTATATGACCAAGAAAAAGAGAATTCATTTCGTGGGTGTAGTTCAAGATACAGAAGACAAATAAACGATCGTTTATTTCCTAAGTCTACAAATTTACAGTATTTGCCACTGGAAGGGATTAATAGTTATTCAGCCAGTTTGAAAATTTATATGTCGAATTACATTCACCTAAAGATTAATAATAAGTCAGTAAAAATTGATCAAAAACAGGTTAGCTCTGAAGAATAATTCTTTTAGTTTTTTCTCTGTATACATGAATGAGTTTATGAACAATAAAGTGAAGATATACGCCTTTGATATGGATAATGCTTCTGTGGTCTGGTTGACCAGATAAATTTGGATCCATCAGTTTTTGTTGCACCCAGTAATAAAAATCCAATCCAGGTAGCCACCTACAAGCAAAGTTGAGTTTACACACCACAGTTTATTTCACTGTACAACATTACTTCAATTTTTGGGGCATACTTTACTAGTCTTTAAAAAACAGCATTGTTCTCTAAGCAGGATGGTTTAATTGGCAAGCTTTTGTTGTCTTTCCAGATAGAGTGGCAGCAGTTATGTCGTTAACGGAGAATTCAAAAAGCCACTTTTCAGTGAAGCAGGAAGTGAAGATATTGTCTGGGTGAACAATGAAGGCCTCGCAACTGAGCTCCCACTCACACGCGTCGGCTCAGAGAACGCAGTCAAATCGGAAACATCCATATAATTTGCAAATATTAATTATCATTTTAGAAAGCCATAGTTTTTGTTGTTGATAAAACAGTTAAACTGAGTGAAGATAAGAGTAGAATTCTTTATTTCTGTTAAACGAATTCTCACCCGATCGTTCTGTTATTTGACTTCATGAGTAAAAATGTATTGCATAGACGCTAATCAATACTTCTTGTTTCGAAGACACATTTTGTCAAAAATTTAATGATTAATTATTATTTTTCGTGCATTACTCCAACTAAGAAATGAAGGCTGTCTGCTTGACTCAATGTGCTCGGTATAATATGTCGCTGTTAGGCGCCTTCAAATCAAGTGATACTCTAACCAAGATTGAAGCAGTGGTTGAGTTTTTAAACTGCTGTCTAGTGGGTGAATCTTTTCTCCTTCCTTGTCGATGAATAAGTTGCAGTAGTTTTTATTCTGAGAAGCTTAACAATTGTAAAAACTTAATTTAACTTAAACCAAAACATTAGATAATAGTATATTTCGTTTGGTGGATGATGACTAGCCGTGAAATCCAGTAAGGTTTACTGTGAGACTAGTAACTTCACCTTGTATAAACACATCTCCTCTACTGAAACTTCAAAAATCAAGCCTGAAGTTCTATGTTCTTCTTGAATGAAAATAAGCAACTGTGGATTTGATCGAAATGTAGTTTCAAGGACCATAGAAACCAAAGGAACTATATATATATATATATATATATATATATATATATATACGTGCAGTAGATGCGTAACATTGTACGGACATGTGGGTTTGGAGTTAAAATAATTTCTTGATTGATGGCAAATTGTCGTACAGCTTTCACCCTTGAATTAATAAGAAATCAGCATTTCATCGTTTAGGAATTTAATGATCAGAACTATACTGACAAATTATCATTTAAAGATAACTGACGAATTATCTGCGGCTACTTGTGCAATAAGAATGGCATCAATTAGTTATTAAATTTCATTCCAATGTCATCTAATAGCATTTAGACTAATAATATGATGCGTCATCTATAGACATCAATATTTTTGCTCTATACATTTGAATACATTCATAGCGGTGCTAATCAGCAGCGATCTGTCACTTGTCATTCACTAATGTAATCAAACAAAGTTCAACTGAATAAGCTAGCAGGTTATTCGAAAGTGTATATAAAATGAATTGTTATGCAGCTTTGTTTCTATTCACCCTAGAAGAGGAGTTAGCAGTCATTGTGAAAATATGTCTCGGTCTAGTATTAAAACTTCAATGCTGCTCAAAATATGTATATATTATTTCAAGTTTGATTCATATCTGGTCATCCTTCAAAATAATAATATCACTTTTAATGAATGCAAAAACTTGATTTTGTTTTCAAAACCAATTGACAGTGCTTCAGTATCATAAACTCATTTGCATTTTTTGCAAAGAACAACTTTTCTGGTAATGCATAGCCAGTCAAACAAGTGAGAAGAACCTAGAATCCTGAAAGTTAGTGTTGTTACTTTTAGTTTGAATTCAAACAAGTATATAGTTACACCAGTTGAGGCAGGCCTTGTTTTCGTTCTTATGCGTTCCGAATGGAACATAAGGCATCAAGTTCGAGCTGGGAAGTCTCAGTAGCAGTTGTGTCGTCATTTTTACGGAGAATGGTTGCTGATCTCTCTCCAAAACTTCCCTGTTCACTGAGCTTACTATCAGCTGCACGGGTTTTAGAAGTGCGTCTGCTGGGAATCGGCCCCGGACCGCATGCATGGTTGACGAACATTCTACCAGTGAACCCCTGATGCACTACTAGCAATCATTTGCCACTATTATTAGTTATCAGAGTTTCCCTTTTACTACCAAGATTCATCAAATATACATATTTTCCAAGCTTAAATCACTATAAGTTAAGTGAAAAATGTACCCAAATAATCAATCAATAAATCAAATCGATTCATGAACCCAAAGAACATAAATAGTCGACTCATCTTCCGTTATCTACAACATTAAATTTTGTTCGCCTACTTATTATTTATTCACTTGATTTTTGTTCGCAAACTGGAAACAGGACAGTTTGTTATTATAATCAAAACTTCAGAATGTCGATTAATCTAATTACTTTGTATGTTTCTTTACTGTGTGAATGATGAATATATTCGCTTTATTGTTTTGAAAAAATATTGTTTCAACTCACTAGTTGGAAAGATACTATCTTTAACCGTTGGTTGAAAACCAAAATTTGATGTTATGAAGAAATTCTGTCCTCAGTATTTCAACTGGTCGAATCAAACTAACAAGGTTATGTTTAGGCATAACCTTGAGATCTACCAATCATAAAACACGAAGCCCAAATTTTCTCACCCTATAGATGTAGTATTCACCTATCAGGGACGAAAAAGAATTTTGACAACAACATTTATGAAGCACGGTGGTAAGAAAAAAAGGAACATCTTATTCCTTCAATCATTTTTCAGAGCGACTATACTCATCACATGAATTGTTGCCACTATCAGATCATCAAATGATCAACTAATTTGCACAAAATTAAAACATTGTGGAGTTAAATGACGCTATGAAGACAATGGGTAAGTCACATTTATTGTGTTTGTTCATCAAATGCATACAACGGTCTAATTGAAAAACTCTGCATTTTTTAAAGCAGATAGAGTAATATGACTTACATCTATATTCTTTGATACATTCAGAAGGTAGTCTAAATATACTGATGTCCTATAATTATTGGATATCTTTTGCCATAACGATAATACTTTCTAGACCTAACTTGTAATAGTGTTATCTTCCCGGAGAGGAAATCCAACTTCAAGGATTGTACCTTGAGAATAATAGATTACACAATATGCTGATTCACAATTCCTTGACAAATTGTTTTTGAACTATAATACAAATGGTCTATAATTCAATTTCTGAATTTTCAATGGAACTTCTAAGTAATATTCAGTTCTAATGCTTGTAAATAATTGAAATAATTTAGAATAAGCTAATTTTCTTACTGATACCGAGTATGTAAATGCTGACGTTCAAAAAGTCGTGGATATCTAAATCGTCTTATTTTTTAATTCCCACTGTAGAACACATTCTCAACTTCGTAAGACATACATAACAGAAGTATCAGGTCTACCGCCTAAGACTTCAGAATATTTACTTTTCGGATAGTGAAAAGACGAAATATTTTTCTAGGATCAGACAACACAATACCGATCAAAAATCTTCACAGTAGTCACAGATATTTCCCATCATTTATATATATATATATATATATATATATATGACGTCTGAAGAAACTTCCTAAGATTCAGGTTCCACAGTATTATAAAACTACATGAAACATGTCTAGTTCACTATTCATTCTTAAGCCTTTGAAGACAAGTAAGGTTATGCGTTGGATTAGTAACCCCATGAGAATTCTACCTCTGTAATACCAACGTGCCTCCTCCTGTATAATGAAAATAATATGCAACTCGAAATTCGGGAAAGTTACACATATTCAGTGCTACGCACCTACGAATAACACAGACCCAGTAAAGAAGAAGGAGGACTTTATGCACTTATTCCCCTTCGTGAATCTGAATAAAGCGAAAGCAATAGTTTTTGGAAAAAACAAGTTGGTACTACCGTTTATTCCACCGGATTCTCATCAGGTGCTTACAGTCTAAAGAAATTATGAAGTTTATGCACAGAAAAATATTAATATCCTTGCAAGGAGGATTTTTGCAGATAATTTCAAACAGTAGTGGACAATGACCTAAGTGGTGATATCAAAATCCTAACCGATGATATGAATGACAAACTGAAAGCAGACAACACAGGAGGAAAATTCACCACGAATCAAAACGAACTCAGAGAAACGAACGAGAAAAGAGAACTATTTGTGTATTTCTACGCTTTCAGTGATTTGGTGTTTGGTCTATTAACAAGACAACGTGAGTTTCACCAGATCAGCAAACTGAAAATTACACACCTTTCATTTTATTCTCAAGAAAGCAGAGACGCATTCAGCCCACTGCATAAAAAAGTGAAAAGAGGAATAGATGTGGGCTCAGATCGCCACCTGGTGCCGAGAACCTTCAAGATAAAGTTGAAGGACGTCGAAATAGAGAACGAACAATTACAGAGATGAACAACGAAAGGGGAAGCTGAGAATAATCTGCAGAGTGGAGAAGACTGCTAGGAAAAACAACAGATGCTTTTACGACGCACTGTCAATTGATAAAGAACTGGACTGCATGTAAATGAGACCTTATAACACTATCAAATAACCAGATCACTTACCGTATAAAAGTCAACGCAAATGAAGCCAATCAAAAATAGTGAAAATTATCGTATTTGTATTGATGTGAGTGTTGTCCTATTAATTACTTGAACATTACTGTTCATCAGAAACCACTAGATCAGAAATAAAAACTCTCAGCCTGTTGAGTTGGTTGGGTTAGAATACATAACCAGTGAATTATTTTTACTGCGAGTCAAATAATCATCACTCATTTAGAATTAGGCGTACGGTAATTATGTGTAATGAATGTGTAATGATATGTTAAGCTAAATGAATGAACTGCCAATGAACTAAACAGTCACATCACTGTTGATGTGATTTTCTTTGATCGATAGCCTGTTATATCCACAATTTAAACTAAATAGATTAAATAAAATAACCAAAATTCAACCTTTTTAAAGGTCAGAGATAATTCATACCAAAGGCGCTATAACTAAGCCACTGTTTTGGAAGTATTTATTTAAGTAAACGTAGTCAGAGACTGAATGATGATAACTGGCCACATTCGCAAACTTCTGAATCATGTTTGTATAACTGTTAAGCACAGTGGCTGTGTTTATGAACTGCTAAAAATGATTTTATTCAGTGAATCTGGTAAGTCGTCTCTCATACAATTATCCCGTAAGACTGAACACTGGTCATGATAAATAGTTTTTTCAATAGTAATTCCCACTGATTTTATTTTTAAGCAAAATAAGTAAATGCAGACTACTGAAATTTATTTAATTTCGTAGTCTATGTACATTCCTATGACTAAAGTCGCCGTTCATTTTCGGAAAACGCTCCAGCTTGGTATATACGGAGGCACCTCCTCCTGCTTGTGCATGATCAGGCAATTTCACCTATTAGTTACTTTTTAACAAATGCTTTTACACTGGCCTATATACAGAGTTCGTCGTTTTATTAATTTAATCACTGTGAGTCACTGTCCTCCGTGCCTAAATCTGTCACCCTGTCAAAGTTTATTCCTTGTTTCTCGAAATTAGCTACGGGTGTAAAATTGTTTTCCAGGCATAAGTTTCATCACTAAATTTTGATTAGGACAAATCTTTCCGATTGACTTGCAACTGTTCATTAGCAGGCATTTGATTGATTTCAATTTTGATCACGAAATGACTTCAATTAGAGAACCTTCGAGAATCAGCGATTGCTGGATAGCGGTTTCGTCCCTGATTGGGACTCTTCAACATCGCACATTCACAACACTATAGATAGGATCTAGGTCCCTCAGATTACAATACGAGCTCGTTTACCAATAAACCACTGTGATGAAATCCAGTGACCCGCTAATTAATTCTAACTTCTGTCAATTCATGACTTATGGCGTGGCCACTAGCCGGTGTCATAGGCGGACGTCACTGGTCATGACTTCTGTTCAGAATTTCAGATAACTTCATCATGTAGTCAGTCACCAGTAAGTAGCAGATTGATTCTCAAATGTTTGTTTGCAGGGGACTGATTGATTTCAATTTTGATCATGAACTGTCTAGGATTGTCCAATACTCTCTGGTTATTCTGAATGCTATTTACGAGCAGGCTTAAAATTACCTCGACAGGTTTTTTATATTGAAAACATATAATATACACTTTGTTCCTTATACAACATTGAAAACACCAATCTTAAGTACTTTTTCTAAAATGAAAATGTTTGATTAACTAAGAAATACTTTACTTTTGTAAAAAGTAAATGTTTTTTTTTTGAGAGTTCCTCAAACATTCTGCACATTCACTTACAGAATAAACCCTGAAATAATACAAATCACCACAGACTATAAAAAGACTAGAGTAAAATGTATTGATTATCTGCAGCTAACGTACGATCACGGCAGACTTTATTATATGAATACAGAACAATGTAGTGTGTAATATTTTTCAATGTGTTAAGTCCACCTTTTTTGAAAGAGGCGAGGGATTTTCAATCCATGACACAGGTGGTAACGTTTGTCTTTATTCTCCTACTAAACAACTCAACTTAAAGTACTTTTTCAACTGGGCTATTTGGAATGATTGATGTCATCTGACTAAAAAACAGACACAACTAATTTAAACTTGTTTATTAAAACTAAACTCTAGTGAAATGACGTGTGAGGTAATAATAAATCGACAATATCCGTCAAAGCTATAATTACACAGACTTTTCATTATTAATATTCATCGAAGATGTAAAATTTAATCGTAATTCTCAGGAACAATTACAAACCAAACGAGTAGTTATTTACACTATGTTCATTAATGTTGTTAACTGACAGAAGCTGGAATGTGTGATGCACTGGATTCTATCTTAGTGGCAAAGTATTCAAGGAGCCCATATTGTCCGAGTTCAATTTCTGGTGGTACACTCCTGAAGAGTCTCAAAACAACGAGGAAACCGTTGTTCAGTACTCTTTTGTTTCTAGTGCTTCTCTAAATGATAACACTCCATGATCTAGGTTGAAACCAATCAGATCCCCACAAGTCAACACATGAAAATATTACCATTGTTATTAGTATTTCTGCTTCTGTTGCATAAAGAAGATGAAACAGAATGAGAATAAAGACTACAAGACAAAATGTGAGAGTGAGCTGACTGACTGAAGAATAAAGTCATTCCTAAAAGCTAGTTATTAATCTAAAATTAATTTTTAAGTTCTTTTTTAATTAGACGGTTAAGTTATAATGATAATAAATCGGTTTTATCGTTGTTTATTAAGCCATGGATAGGGCGTAAGTGATCGCTTGAGTTAAAATGATTTTATGAGAGATAAAAAGAACTCCTTCGATTTGATTCAACTGCGCATTATCACTGGCATCATTCTTTTTTTATTTTTTCAGTATACATACACACAATTTAATGGTTAAGTAGGTCTCTGAAAACACTTATATCAGCCCCTGGTGCTTGCTAGCCAGACTAAACACCGAATGGCCATCTCGCTCGTTTGGGGCTGAACTCATCATTAGGATGCCCGGTTTGACTCAGCTCAGACAGTCAAATCATTTCAAAAAACCCGAATTCTCTCTGGTATTACGTCAAATTCATTGTTTATCACGTTGTTCATAGATGTATTTCAGCTATAAAATGATAATGACAAACGATATTTAATATATCCACATAAAATACCTATAAATATTATGAAATCTTAGTTTGCAGGGATTTTATTGGTTACAGGTTCAATCAGAAGTTGACATCAGCTCCAAGAACCGTTGGAAAACCTGGGTGAAATACCTGTTAAGTAATCCAAAGTTTTCCAGTGGTTCCCTAACTGATGTTAACTCGTGATCAAATCTGGAAACATCAAAATCCCTGTAAACCAACAC